CCCATGGTAGAAATCTCACCTTCAGCGTGGAAGGGGCCAGGAGGTCCTCTGGTACAACCCTTGGTTCACACATGAGGAAACCAAGGCCCAAAGAGGGAAAGTGACTTAGAAACACAGCCACCACATCTCCCTGGAGAGGTGCCCAATGGCGAGGCTAGACCCTGAGGCTTGGGGTATGGGGATCTGTGGGAAGGGGCTGCTCTCCAGAACATGGCTCTGTCCAAGACCTGGCTCCAGAAGTGGGGCCCAGATTTTACTGACCACAGCTCCACAGCCCCCTGGCCTGGGCAGCTCAGAGAGCTCTGCAATTCAGATGGCCATGAAGGGCACCAACAGGATAAAAACTCCCTAGAGGGCTTGGGGGAATTTCCAAATCACACCTGGGCCCGCTATTTCCTGGCCACAGCTACTTTCCTAGAGGGCTCCCCAAAGGGACCTGCATGCTCCCTCCTTACCCTACCCTAGGTTGTGTCCCCCAGGACTTCTGGGGTGGGGTGAGAGGGTCGAAGGCAGAGGGAGAAGGGGAGAAGAGTTGGCGGGAGGACAGTCTTGCTGCACGACTCAGATCAGGTGCTGGGGACGGGGCCGATAGGGAGAACAGGAAGCTGGAGGGCAGGCCTTGTTTACTCATTCGCTTGCTTGTGCCTTCGTTTGTATGTTCCTTCCCTGCTGAGCATTTCCCAGGCACCCAGGACTGTGCAGGGTGCAGGGCGGCAAAGGTGGGTGAGAGGAGGACAGGGCCCAGCGCATGGCTCCAGGAGCGCTGGCTCTTCACGCGGGCCATGCAGCACCCTGCGGGGGTCCTGAGCACCACCTGCTCAACTCCACACAGCCCTGAGAACAACATGGTCTGTGCTTTTGAGGGGACAGCTCCCACTCCCAGGCAGCACAGAGGAGGCGTCAGGCAATGGGAAAAAGCATGTGCTTTGCCTGTGACCTGACGTATGAGCAGAGGTCTCCCAGGTGCAGCAGACAGGGTGGGGGACAGGCAGGGGGTATCCCCGGGAGAGGAAACAAAAAACACACGAAGGCCCAGAGGTGAGGATGGCTGGAGAGTCAGGACAGCAAACAGAATGGCTGGAACCCCCGTGGGGCTGGGCATGTGGCAGGGCCTGTGGCAGGCAGCTTGGAGAGGCCTCGGTCTTGCACACCGTGAGAGCCATCAGAGGCTTTCCCGTGGATCAGCACGGTCGGAGGTGCACTTTAGGAAGATGACTCAGCTGCAATGTGGAGGTGAGATTGGAAGAGGCATGGCTCAGAGCAGGGGAAGCACAGGAGGTGTCCCCAGGGGCGCAGGCAAGAGGGAGGATGGCCGGCCTCCTCAGGCAGGGGCCGTGGGGAAGGCAAGAGAGGGTGGGATTTGAGAACTGTGGAGAGGCAGCCCCAGTGGGCTTGGGGCTAGAGCAGAGGTGGAGGAGGGAGAAGAGCCAAGAGCCAAGGAAAACACTTTGGGGGTCTGGACTGGCTGACAGAGGAGGCCTGGCAGGTCGGTGGGCTGAGGAGCTAAGATTGTCCAACACTTCTCCCAGGCCATGGAACACAGGATGTGGCTGGTGGAATCACTGCGTCGGAATACCAAGTCTTAGATCTCAAAGAGACATAAGGCAGAGTCAGGCCCTGGCCCCAGGCTGTATGCCCATCCCATTCCCCTTTATGTCACTAAGTGATCATTTCCCCTTCCTCATCCTTCCAGCAGCTTCTTTGCCAGGCACTGCACCAAGCGCTGAGAATATAATGAGGAACAGGTCATGCACCTGCTTTTCAAGGAGGGGGGTCAAGTGAACAGGATACGCTGACACAGGGCTGAAGGGCTGTGACGGGGACACCTCGGTGCTGTGGGATCACGAAGGGGCATCCAGTGCAGGCTTGGGAGGCAGGGAAAGCTGCCAGAGAGGAGGAAGAGGCACCTAAAGTAAGAGAAGGCCAAGTGCAGGGGTGTGGAGGGGAGAGGAAACTTCAGAGATCGAGGCCAAGGAAAGAGTCCCGGAGATGGGAGGCAGCTGAGGCCAGAGAAGTCAAGCAACTTGCCCAAGGCCATACAGCTCACGGCAGAAGAAAGAAGAGTAGGGTTCAGCCTCCTGTAAATGAGTGCCATGTTTCCAAGAGCCTTGCTCCAGCCTCCCCAAGCCTTACTTGCCCCCTTCCCCCAACCCCCAGCCTATACTTTGTCTAACGGGATACACAGGTCAGGGGACCCAAGCTATTCTCCGAGGCTCAGAATATTTGGGAGAGGGCCCTGTTGCACCCCCTGCCAGTCCTCACCTCACCTGACTCAATCCGGCCAACATGCAAAAGCCGTCTATTAGAATTATGCCCCCACAGAAAAAGTCCACAGTGCCGACCGGAATCCTACGTTACGCCCAATATCACACCCAGTCAAAACCAAACTAACCCACCTGCCTAAGCCAACACACATGCTTCCCCTAGTGTTACTGACCGGATACTCCTTAAGTGGAACCGTCATCTCTTTCAGGGGCAGGTAGGGAGCATGTTTTTTTTTTGTTGGTTGTTTCTTGGTGCCCTACTCCCTTGTTGCTTTACACAGGATAGTTATTTTAAAAAGATACTCAGCCGGTGAGCTCTTACTATGTCCAGCACACTCTGCTGGATGCTGGGGAAGGCACCAAAATGGATACAAAATGGTCTCTGGCCTCAAGAAGCAGAGGACCTCTCATCTGGCCAAGTGGCCCCCATATGTCGCAGATGGATATTTACCCAGCCCTGCCTGGGCACTCACAGAGACAAAGAACTCTCTACCTCACAGACAGGGCATTCCACATTTCTAACAGTCTTAATTGTTAAGTTAAAATCTTCTCCTCCTGCCAGGCGCGCTGGCTCACGCCTGTAATCCCAGCACTTTGGGAGGATGAGGCGGGCGAATCACAAGGTCAAAAGATCAAGACCATCCTGGCCAACATGCTGAAACCCCGTCTCTACTAAAAATGCAAAAATCAGCTGGGCGCGGTGACGCACACCTGTCAATCCCAACTACTTGGGAGGTTGAGGCAGGAGAATAGCTTGAACCAGGAAGGCGGAGGTTGCAATGAGCCTAGATTATGTCACTGCACTCCAGCGTGGCGACACAGCAAGACTGTGTCTCAAAAAAAAAAAAAAAAAGAAAAAAAGATCTTCCCCTTCTATAGCTTTCATATATTAGTACCACTATTTTTGGCCGGAATGATAGAAAATAGAAAATACATCGAATCATTTTTCACATGCAGCCCTTCAATATCTAAAACTTGTTTTCCTGTCTACCATTTCTCCATATAACCCCAGCCCATCCTCCTGCTCATTAGGAACCTCAGGGTCCTTGTTTCCTCCTGTAAATGCAGCCTCCAGAACCAAGCTCTGGATCTCGAGGGTCCCTGACCATCAGCAGTGTGGGGCTGCCGCGGGTGCCTCCCTTCTGTGGGGCAGTGTGGGCCTCCCCTGAAGGGTGTGAAACCTGCCCTCCCTGCTCCACAGCCGCTTCCCTGCTCCTGACTCGCCTGGAGCTTACAGTCACCGGAAACCCTAAGCCTGTCTCTCAGGCTGGAACCTGCGCATGTCTTATACGAGTGCTGGGGGCTTTTCAAAGTCAGGAGCAGAATTTTAGAGTTTTCCATATTTCTTCTGATTTTTTTTTTTTTAAATTAAAACCATCCTTCTGCCCTGAGGAGTTTTTTTACAAGGTCTGGGATGCTATCACCAAGGTATCAGCTGTTCTCTTTCAGCTTTATGCCATCAGAAAGCCAGGTAAATGTAACTTCCTCAATTTGGTGCCTTGTCTAATGGTCGACCTGGATAGCGCTTACACTCCAACTCCCCGGGAATTTTTCTGATGAACATTCTTTGTATAATTCAGTTTGGGAACAACCCCCCTTACTATATTGTCAGGGATCCACACATATCTAGCATCTCCACTAGATATCTTGGGGGATTTTGGTCAAACACTTTACTGATGTGCTGCCTACAGCTGTCCCTGAGCCAGAATATGAGCTTGGCATCAACGTCAAGAGAGGAAGGAGCTCAGTTTGGCTTGATTCAGTCTTAGTGGCCTTCCTACCAGCTTCCTTTCTGAAGATACCTTTTCTATTGTGTTGAAAAATTGTTCTTTAGAACCTACATATTTTGGGGCAGAAGGAACCTTGGAGGCGATTCAAAATTAATTCCCATTTTTGCAGATGAGGAAACCAATGCCCAGAGGGCTTAACTGGCATTCCCAAAGTCACAGAGTTCATTTAGGAGGAAGAGCAAGGATTGGATCCCAAGTTCAAAGCTCTTTCTTTAACAGTATCACATCATCACACCTTTCTCTAAGTGCTCACGGGCACGCGCGGGCACGCGCGGGCACACACACACACACACACACACACACACACATACCCCTTCCATCAGGACTCTTGCCCACCAAGACAAAAAACTGAGACATATCTTTTTGGGGGTTCAGTGGGGGCCCCACAACAGGCCACCTTCTCTTCCTGAATGGAAGATGGAGGCCCAGATCCCTCCATGAGATTCATTCTCCAATAGGGGAGCTTTGGGCTCCCCCAGTCTGGATTGATCTTGGGAATCCTGTCTGCCTTAAGGAGACGATTGTCTCTATGCCTCATTTGAGCCTGTGGGTGCCTAGCATTGGCTCCCTTTGTGGGCACGGAAGCTGGACTATGGCCTCCAAGCAGCAGGTGGAGGTGGAGACTTCCCCAGAGAACAATGGGCTCCTTGCCTAGTGGTCTGTGGACAATGGAGGCTTGTTGAGCACTGTGCGAGGAGCAGAGCCCCTGGACTTGCTGCCCAAGAGCCTTGCATCGTGAGGATATGAGCCCTGCCATGGAAGAAGGCAGAGGCCTGTGGCTGGTCCAGGGAAGGGCAAATTAGGTCGCTCAATGTGGGAGAACTATGGCAAAAGAGGTGTGCCTGTAGAGAGGGGGCCCAGCGGGGAGATCCCTGGTACCCTGGACAGTGCCCAAAGGCAGGGCCCCTTCACCACCCTCCCCACCCCCCTAGGAGGCCCTGGGTACCTGTTTATTCTTTAGGTCAAGGGAGAGTTCGTAATCGGAGGCGGCAGGGGCGTGGGAGCACAGCGCCGTCGCCAGGGCAGGCTGCTGCCGGCCGGGGGAGGCCATGTGCTGGGGGCCAGCCCTTGGGGAGGCAGCCCCCGCCCCCGGCCGCTCCTCCTCCTCCTGCAGCTCCTGGGCTTGAGCCTTCGGGGCATGGGCACTGGGTCTGCCGGCTGCCACCGCCGCCGCTGCCACCACGGAGTCCTCCATGCCCCCACTGGCCTGGGTGCAGGAGCCGTCACTGCGAACAAAAGGCAACGGTGCTCGGTTGGGGGAGAGGGCGACAGGGTGCGTGTGGATGTGGGGTTGGGGGAGAGAAGCTGGGCACTCTGGCCTGGTTTTCTGGTGGCAGGGACTGGAGGGGGTGTCTTCAGTCTCCTCTAGGGAGGGGCTATCATGGCAGGGCGAGTCCCGGGCAAGGAGAAGAGCCTGAAGCTGGGGAGCATCTCAGACGGAGGGAAGGGGCAGCTATGGCCAGGGCTCAAGAACATCCACTTAGAAGCAGTACAGTAGAGCAGCGCATCTGGGCTCTGTCTCTTATTAGCTGTGTGACTCTGAGCAGGTCACTCAGCCTGATTGCACCTCTGTTTCCCCATCTATAAAATGGGCACAGTAACAGTACCTACCTGATAGGGATCCTGGAAGGCTTAAGTCACTTAAAACTCTTTAAGCTGCTCCTGGCTCATGGCAACTGCTACATGTGTTACCTATTGTAATTATCAGTGGCTTGGCTCGTTAGGCACAGGCTCAGGTGGCTGGGAAAGCTGAGCCACACTGAGCCAGCTCATCTTTAGACTGAATGAGTCTGGAGGAGGGAGGGTGCCTGGCCTGGCTTGGGCATAAGCCCTTCCAGGGGGGTGGGCTTCCTTCCCTGCTGTGTTTAGAAAACACTTTCCTCCCTGGCCCCTCCTCTGCTCCCAGGGAGCCACAGCAGGCTGAGCCACATCTGCAGGCCTCCTGCCTGCTCCAAGAAAACACCTCGCTGCCTGAAGCAGCCATGCTCCAGCCTGCCCTGCAGAATTGGTTCCCTCAGGTTGCACTAGCCTTCAAGTTCTGCCCCTCCCTTCAGGCCTAGTGCTGAGCCACCTCCTCCAGGAGGCCTTCCTGGTGACTGCAGCTTTCACTGCTCTGTCTCCTAGAACACTAGGAGCTGTCCTTAGAGAGTCACTGTCTATTTCGCAGAGGAGGAGAGTCATCGTGGTTAACAGCAAGGGCTCAAATCCAAGCTCTATCACTGTGTGGCTTTCGGCAGCTGGCTTTTCCTCTGAGCCTTGGTTCCTTGGTCTGTATAATGGAGGTCCTAGTTCCTACCTCAGGGGGTTACAGTGAGGAAGAAAGGAGGCAGCAGAGATCAAGTGCTTAGCACAGAGTATGTGCTCAGTAAATAAACTCTTTTTTTTTTTTGAGACAGAGTTTCACTTTTGTTGCCCAGTCTGGAGTGCAATGGCACGATCTCAGCTCACAGCAACCTCCGCCTCCCGTTCAAGCCATTCTCCTGCCTCAGCCTCCCTAGTAGCTGGGATTACAGGCACCTGCCACCATGCCTGGCTAGTTTTTTGTATTTTTAGCAGAGACAGGGTTTCACCGTGTTGGCCAGGCTGGTCTTGAACTCCTGATCTCAGGTGATCCACTGGCCTCAGCCTCCCAAAGTGCTGGGATTATAGGCGTGAGCCACTGTACCCGGCCCAGTAAATAAACTCTTATTTCCCCACCCATCCCTTCCTAGAAGCCAGGGCCTATGTGTTATTTGATTGTGTCCTACACCTGCTTCATGCTGGGCAGATGCTGAGTGCTTAGTCAACACTTGTTGATGGGTGAACTGAGGGGAACCCAGGAGCCACAGGGATGTCCTTTACAGAAGACAGTGACAGAAAGTCAGGACTGGAAGGGACCTCAAGGTCATCTAATGGTGGGATGGCCCTGGTGCAGGACAGCTGTGACCTAAGGACTGATTTCTTCCACGATTGTGCCACCATGAAAGATGGGCCAAATCACACCAGAGGAGGGACCTCTTCCTGCAGCTTCCACTGGACCTCAGCGTGCAGAGAAGGGTTCCTCCTGGTGCTTCCTCCCAGCCAAGAGGTGGGTGGAGAATCTCCCTTCTGTCAATCTCCACCTGTCCTCCCAGCACTCCCCTGCACCTCTGACAGATAAAGGAGCGCTCGCTGGGTGGCCCTGGCCGTGGGGAACCCTCATTGCTGCTGCCTCTTTCTATGTTCACCATTTCTCCTACCACCACCAATTAAGCTGCATGGCTCAGTGTAGCTCCAGATACCTTTTTAAAAATATATTATTTATTTACTTTTGAGACAGGGTCTTACCCTGTCACCCAGGCTGGAGTGCAGTGGCTCAATCACAGCTCACTGCAGCCTTAACCTCCTGGGCTCAAGCGATCTTCTCACCTCAGCCTACTGAGTAGCTGGGACTACAGGTCCACACCACCGTACCGGGCTAAATTGTTGATTGTTTTGTAGAGACAGGGTCCCACCAGCCCAGTCTAGTCTTGAACTCCTGGGCTCAAATGGTTGTCTGGTCTCGGCCTCCCGAAGTGCTGGGATTGTAGTCCCGAGCCAGCGTGCACAGCCTCTAGACATCTTTAGATGGTTTTCACCATGTCACTGGGAAGTTCTTTTTAAGCACTAAATTCAACCCCTCTTGCTATATTAGCTGACTTCTCTTCCCCTGGAGCATGTGGAAATAGCCCCTTCCCACCACAGCACAGCCTGTGCCCAGAGCCTGCAGGGCAGCGTGCCGTGTTACACATCTGTCCTCCAAACTGTCCTTGGCACCGATGCCCAGGATCTCTCTACCCTAAAGGTTTTCAAGAGTCTTTAGGGAACTGGTGGCTCCTCAAGGGTCCAGACACCTTTAATACCAGCCCTTTGCTTTCTTTGATTGCCAGAGTGTGCTTGGCAAGAGGTGCTGGGGAGCCAGTGTCCCTTGATGGCAACACTCGGCCAATGACAATGGGGTTGCTGCATGAATACCCCAGCTTCCCTGTCCCTTGCACGGGACAGCTCTGAGGCACATCCTATACCCTCTCCCTAAGTCCCCAGTGGGATCGAGCCCCAGGAGCCCAAAGCAGTAACTTGCTCATGAATGAACCCTGCCATGGCTTTATTCTCTTCTATGTTTCACTTCCCCACTCCTCTATAACCCCTTCCTGGGGTCACCTTGTCCAAAATAAACTACTTGTGTTAAACAAAACAAAATTTTAAAAATAGCTTGTTGTGGGCTTCTGTTCATGGGCCACCCCTCACACACACACACGCACACACATTCTCTCTCACATACACTTAGGTACACACACACTCATGCACACACAATACTTCTGTGGCTTTGGGCAATTTATGTCCTCCTCCTGGGCCGGTTTCCTCATCTGTCCCATGGAGGGAGCTTACTCTTCTCTAGGGACCCTTCCTGCTTAGACACTCTAGGAACTTAAATCCTAGTGCAGAGGCTGGTCTGCCAAGGCCCACTGGCCCAGGCTCCAGGCTCCCTGGCTGGTGGACCCAGCTCCACCTTGTCCATCTCTGTGCTCGGGGACCTGAGGGACTCGGGCCCTCCCAGGTATATGATGAAAAAGTGTTGGAAAGGAAACCCCTATCCTTGCCTTCTTCCCCTAGACTTACCAATAAGACCGTGGGGTGGAAGGTGGCCACAAAACCCCTGGCCTGTTCTCAGTGTGGCAACGTTAAAGGTCACATAGTGGAGGCCAAAGAACATACATGGCTTTGGTGTCAGGGAGACCCGGGTTAGAATCCTGGCTTTGCTACTTACTATGCCACTTGGGCAAGTCATTGAACCCTTTTGTGGCTCTATTTCCTCATCTGCAAAACAGTCCTAACAACTTTGCAGGGTTACTGTCAGAAAAGAAATAAAGCATGCACAGCACCTAGGACAGCGTCTGGCACACAGTTGTCCTTAATACAGGGTGACAGTGATGGTGGCCATTTTCTCAGCTAGAATCCTATGGCATGGAGTCCGAAAGAAACCCCCAGGAAAATGTCATGAAGAATTCTGTAGCGGGGGAGGTGTTCTCAACATTTAGCCCCCTTGTCAACCTTCACGGAACTGAAACAGCAGGGTTTCCCCACCGTTCCCCGTGGCCTTCCCCAGCCTTCCAGATGGATGGGCTTTCTGGAGGCTTCCTCCCACCCCGTTTCAGCCACTGGAGCAGCAAACAGCGAAGGGGACTTGGTCTTGGGTGTCACCAACACAGGGGACCCATGTCCCCTGGGGAATCTGTGTGCAGTTGCCACCTACAGGCAGGCCCCTTGGCTGTACCCAACATGATGGGGGATTCCTGGGTGGGCATTTGTCGAGTGCCCATCATGTGGATTTGGGCTTTGGTGCTTTGCCAGGGCACAGCAGAGGCCCGAGTCCTTACACCCTCTCTTTGGTGGCTGAGCATCAACAGCATGTCCTCAGCCTCTGTTTTCCTCTTTGCACTCCATCTATAGAAAAGGTCTGAGGAAGAGGTTGGAATTTTCATCTTAAGCTGTCATAGCTGGAAGGACCATCTGTTTAACTTGAAGGGCATCTACTTCCAGTCTCTTATGGAACTGGAAACCCATTGCTCTAGCTCCCAGAACATCTCTCTTCTCCTTCCAAGACACAGGCAGTGTCTCTTCAGCTTCCACAGTTTGCAGCTGCCATCCCTAGTGGGTCAGATTTCAGGCAGCCTGGCCCTTGCACCAGAAGGAAGTATGTGGATGGGATTCTCTCTGGGACCTGAACAGCTTCTTATAATGCCCTCCCAGAGCACTGGAGGGGGATCCTGGAGATCTCCGCTCTCTTAGGCTCCTCACCCTGCTGCAGAAACATTCATTGAGTGGCAGTGCACTAGCCAGGAGAAAAAGTGGGGTCACTACTGGTATACGAGTGACGCTGGTCACAGGGTTACTCCCTGGGTTGGGACACCCATTTGAGAAGCTGAAAGTAGAATGTGAGTGGCACCAAGATGAAGGGGTCCTGAGAAAGCTTTGATACGTTCATATGACATTAAGCTGATACACACAGGGCCAGGGCCAGTGCATCAGGAGTCATTCCATGCATGAGAGCAGGATTTGAGTATGGGAAGTGAGTATCTTTGAGAAATTAGGGAAATAAGCCATCACTCATTCTCAGAGGAATATCGCATGTGCCCAAGAGCAGAATTAACACCACATTCGAGGGTCACTCAAGGGGAAGCTGGCTTGTGCTTAGGGGGACGCTCGGCTCCAGCTGTGCATGCCTGGT